TACAGGGACGTTCAACGACATAGGGTATGGTTTTTGGCCGTCGTTTATACAATAGCCGACTTGCGAATTACGCATCAATAGTCACATACAAAGGAATCAAGACGAGGCGCCGTGCTTTTTTGTGAAAAATCTATTGTCTTTAGCACGGCGCCTCGTCTTGATTCCTTTGTATGTGACTATTGATGCGTAATTCGCAAGTCGGCTATTGTATAAACGACGGCCAAAAACCATACCCTATGTCGTTGAACGTCCCTGTACGTCTGTGCCCCCTTCCCCCTCCCCACTCCGTTATGAATGATCCTTTTCAGTTTCCCAAAGAAAATCAGTGGAGTCTTAGCGCACAAGAATGATATATCATGCACWCAAAAGAAGAGTGCAACTCGTGTATAGCTTTTTCAGAAAAGGTTGTCAGAGCCTAATGTCGATTGTACAACCCAAGATTATTATGGGTATTCAATTTTTAAAGTTTTTTTTTAAACATCTATCAAAATATTTTCTGATGTGCTTAATCTGAAAGAAATTATCTGTGTATTTTATGCATATATCATTCAAAAAGCAATGAAGTGCGACAGTCGAGCTTGTGTGTCTTGTCTTGTCAATGTTGCATAAATTTATATCGAGGCAAGACTGAGCATTCGGTGTATACCAGAATCAACAAATATTTTCTAGAAGCTTGGAACGCAAAGCCTACAATTAATTACAGCAACTATTAGATAAAGGATTGATCTATTACTACAAGGATAATTACATAAATCTCTGGAGCCGTTTTGAAGAAAAAGGAACGGTAGTCACTTTTTTAATAAAGCGGAAGTCACTTTTTGAGATTTTTTAACAGAGGCCGTACAATTTTAGGTTTTCTTTCTCTCCAGTGAAAACCAGAAGTACATAATGTAAATATGTAGTCTGTCTGAATTATACAGAACATAATATCACAAAAAATATATGCAAATAAGGAGTTTCCAAAAAGGGGGAGCACCAGCAACGTGAAAAGATATTTACGAGTACCTCAATTCCTCTAATACTGAATTATTATAATTTTTCGTCTATATATATGATATCAAAGAGGCAAGATTTTGCTGTAACTCCGAGTTTCGTGCTACGCACTCATCAGACAATATTTAAGCAAGAGATAAACACGGAGGCAATAAGCCATATAAAGCGAGGGGCCGTAGGCTTACGTTCGAGGCTTATTTCATACTGGCTTATTTCATACTTTGAAGAAGTTTTCCAAGCACTGCATTAATATTTTCATTTTTAAATAGGCAAAGAAGCCGTTTTCACATGAATTAAAAACCAAAACATCGATTAGAAAGGATACGATATTTACTGTATCGAGCATTCCCAACGGGAATAATTTGCATAACCATTTTTCTCGTTAGTCCCATGAGACCAATGCTAACAATATACCTTTTGTAACAAGTAACTGGACAATGTTAAATAACTGTTTTATTCCACAACTGACATCGATTAGTCAGTTAGCATAACGTGTTTTAAAGTATAGGATTTTCAAAGCTGAGGTTGTGGGTTCGAATCTACTTGGTGTCATTTGAATTTTTCTTTCTTTCTTTCAAGTTTAACGTTTCAGACGGAAAATTTCTAAGTTGAACGTAATAGTTAATTAGGTATTCAAGGGCTCATTGTGTATTCAAGTGCTTTATATCGAAGTTTCAGGTTGTTTTCAGGAAGTTTCAAGTTTCCTTGAATACTAATGTACTTATTGCCCTTGATACCTAATTAACTACTACGTTCAACTTAGAAATTTTCCGTCTGAAACTTTAAACTTGAAAGAAAGAAAGAAAAATTCAAATGACACCAAGTAGATTCGAACCCATAACCTTAGCTTTGAAAATCCTATACTTAACACGTTATGCTGACTAATCGATGTCAGTTGTGGAATAAAACAGTTATTTAACATTGTCCAGTTACTTGTTACAAAAGGTATATTGTTAGCATTGGTCTCATGGGACTAACGAGAAAAATGGTTATGCAAATTATTACCGTTGGGAATTGTCAATACAGTAAATATCGTAACCTTTCTAATAGATGTTTTGGTTTTTAATTCATATGAAAACGGCTTCTTTGCCTATTTTCTATTTAAAAATGAAAATATTAATGCAGTGCTTGGAAAACTTCTTCAAAGTATGAAATAAGCCAGTATGAAATAAGCCTCGAACGTCGGCAATAAGCCTATAAAGCCCTCGGGGCCTACGGCCCCTCGTGCTTTATATGGCTTATTGCCTCCGTTCTCGGTATTTATCTCTTGCTTAAATACTGTCTGATGAGTGCGTAGCACGAAACTCGGAGTTACAGCAAAATCTTGCCTCTTTGATATCATATATATAACTAGCTCTACACTTTATGTATTGAGCACTCTTTAATGGGATCAGCTACTTCCTCATACCATTATAATTTTTCGTCTAATAATATACAGATATAATGGAATTCACAAAAGAACAGCAGAACTTCTTCAAGCTATGTCACATCGTCTATGACATCGTAAGTGAAGGTCTCCTAAGGATTTTCAAGCAAGAATGGGATGCTTTGTACACAGCTTCGCATGGTCAAAGATTTCATAACATGGAGGGAACATACGAATGGCTTCTGAGCATGATGTCAAGTGGAGGCAGAAAAGACTGGAATTCCATTTGTCTAATATATACAATACTTAACTGCCGCTTAGGACCAAGATTATCGTCTGCGGTTAAAAATGGCGTCGATGAATTACTAGCATGTCGTGATGAATTGGCACAAAAAACACATGGAAAGATAAGTGAAACTGAGTTTCAATTGTCTATACAAAAGATCAAGGTAGCATTTTCATCTTTAGAGCTTGATACTACACGAATTAAAGAGATAGAAAAATGGGAATTTTTGGCAACTGAATATCTTACCAACATGAAAATTAAACTAGATGTCCAAGAAGAAGAGAAACGAAACTCGGAACCAAACTCCTTTTGTAAACTTCCTCCACACCCCAGCCATAACATAATACACAGAAAGAAAGAGTTTGACAAGATATATAAAATAATGCAACGGTTATCAAGTGAAAACAAGGGGAAAACGACAGTCGTTTACTTGTCTGGGAATCCAGGTTGTGGGAAAAGCGTGATGGCAAGACAAATTGTAGAGAAGTGCTACGATAGCGACACCACAGATACATTAAAGTTTGTGATGACGCTTGATGCCTCTAACTTGGACACTTTACTGCAGTCATATTTCATGTTTGCTCAGAGACTGAACTGTCATTTTGATACTATAATAAGTATTGCACAAGATCTTTCCAATGAAGTACAAATCCTCCAATTAAAGGCTCTTGTCAGCAAACAAGTGGCCAAGTACTCGAAATGGTGGATCATTGCTGACAATGTAACTAATTCAAAATTCTTCTCCCAATACTGCACAAAAGGTGGAGAAAAGACTAGTGGTGAGGGACAGATTCTTGTTATCACGCAAGACAGTGCCTCTATTCCTATTATCCCAGAATGTTACCATGTTTCACTCAGTTCCGGTATGACAGAAGAAGACGCCATTGAACTACTTTCTGAAGAATCCGGACATAGAGATGCAGAAAACCATGTTATGTTGAAAGTCTCCAGAGCCCTAGATTTTCAACCGCTTGCTTTATCTGCTGCTGCATTTTACATGGCTAAAGTTCGAACCGTCGACAAACAATATACCTGGCTTCAATATCTAAAGGCCTTGGAAGAAGATCGAGAAAAGCTAGAAAGAAAATGTTATAAGGCATCAGTATCGTACAAAATGCCAATGACATTTGCAGTGAGTTTCCCTCTCTATAGAGAGATTTCTGACGAAATTATGCTGCATGCATTTCGCTTCCTATCTATATCTGGATCAGGTCCCATCCCTTTAGAGTACGTGGTGGAGTACGTAGCTAAGTACCTGCCTGACGAAGACAAAAACCTCATTGCTTCGAGAATTTGTTCATCGTCATTATTAATGATATTGGACCTAAAGAACATTAGCATGCACCGTGTGGTTTATTACCTTTTGCAAAGGAATCCATATATTRCTRAAGGTACGTATGCGCGGCTCCCTCGTATSTATGGCGGGGTGATCCACTGGAAAAAATCGCGCACTTTAAAGGTTKTAAATTTGATGTAAATATTATGYAAGTRTCCAAAATGATGTAAATTTACATCTAATTTAAGCATCAAATTTACATAATATTTACATCAAATTTACAACCTTTTGAAGTGAACGATTTTTTYCAGTGATCGTCGGATATTACCCCTAAAGGATACCAGGCTCTTACGAAAAATAAACATTTGCAGCAGACATCTACCTTGTTTATTCTAGTCGAATATTTCAACAGTATTATACGGCGTATTTCTGATGTGGGTTGTGGTTTACAATAGTCGTTTTCCAGAAGCTAAATATCTGCAACTACTACATTAATAATWCAGATAGAGTACCATCGGAGATCCTTGCACGTGGCCCAAAAGCACATCTTGCCTATCAAACAGCAYTGAAAAGTGGGAAAGTCAAAAATTGTCGGGTGCCTATTGTTGTGGTTGGCCAATCTCGATCTGGAAAGACAAGCTTACTCAGATCACTTTATAGTAAGTTATTCATGATATCTCATCTAACTGCATTGTCTTCAGCCTAATTCTTTCTGCTCTCTTTAGGAGAGAAATTCAATCCCTCGGAAGATAGCACCGTTGGCGCAAAGCTTCAGCGATCGTTATGTAAGGCGGAAGAAGGCGACTGGGAGAAAACCGAAACTGACGAACACACAGTTTACAATCGATGTGCTGCAAGAGCAATGGCGCCACAATTACTAACRACAGATTCCATAAATTCCGATAATGACGACAGCGATGATAATGAAAAATCCCTAGCAGAAGAGAACAAGATTGAAAACGACGACTCAAAAGCATTTCCAGCAGAGAAGAAGGTTTTGCACTTCGATGAAGATTCTGAAGTGGCAAAGGAAGAAACAACACAAGAAGACTTCGAAATTCACAAAGATGTCCTCGAGCCTAAACASCTTCCTGAGCAAGTTGCAACGTGTGCCGAGAATATTTTAGAAAACCCAGATTCTGTGAAACARATGGAAAATGATCTATTTTTACACACCATGGACTTCGCAGGACAACCAGTCTACAGTGTCACGCACCCCGTGTTCCTTCCCCCGAAGGGGATCTTTCTTCTTGTCCATAACTTGGAAAACGATCTGCACGCTCAAGCGACTCCTATGGTAAAATGTGGAGCAGCAGAAATAATAGTCGACGATCATTGTCCAATGACCAATATGGATCATTTGGAATTCTGGTTATCTTTGGTTGCAGCTAATTCAACTCTCGAAGGTGGTTCTCCAGTCTTTGTGGTCTCCACTCATGCCGACAGACTTTCCCTCCCAAATGCAGAAAGAATTGCAAGAATAATTCTCTTTCACCTAAAGAGAGACGACTTTTCACCGGGAAATCACGTTGTCCGTGGCATACACATTGTGGATAACACAATATCGGGAAGCAAAGGAGCAAACGACCCTGGTGTACAAAATCTCAAAGTAGCAATATCTAACAAAGCGAGAAGCCTTCCTCAATTCGATGAAGATATCCCCATTCGTTGGTTGGTTTTCGAGAAAAGCCTCATGAATGTTGTCAAAGAAGAACAGAAGAAATACATCTCACATGAAGACGCCAAATCCATTGCCTTACAATGTGAAGTAGATGTTGAATCGGATGAGTTCCGCACTCTTTTGGACTATCTACATGACTTGAAAGTGATCATCTACTTCCCGGAAACCAACATGATCATCATCGATACACAATGGCTGCTTGACATGTTTGCCAAGGTGATAACTGTTCTACCAATTGAATACCATGAAGAGTACGAACAAGAATGGGAGAAACTAGAAGACCAGGGAATAGTTGATGAGAAGTTTTTGAAGTACCTCTGGAAGGACGACAGCACTCCAGTGCAATCGTTAATTACCATCATGGAAAAGTTCTCCCTCATCTGCAAACAACAGGATGGATCATATCTGGTTCCTGCTATGTTGTTGAACGCTCCAGAGTGCCATGAATTGATGAATACAGATGAAATGGCTTCGTCATTGGTAATTCGATTCAAAAGTTCGCACCTTCCGTTCGGCGTTTTTCCAAGACTTTTTGCTGCTGTTCATAAGTTGTGTAGCTCAAGATGGCCTGATTCTACCCCACCTAGTCTCTCCAGGAACTTTGCGAGGTAAGCTGGTCATACCTTTCCTTGGTTTTCAGAAATCTTTACAGTAATCATTGAAACAAAACAAAAAAATCTTGCCTCCATCATTCTCAAAACAAAATTCTTACATATGTTTTTTTCTCAGATTTTACATTGCTGATGACGCATTCAGCTTGGTTCTCATTTCTGATGTCCAAACCATTACTGTTGCCCTGGTCAATGAAGAAACTCCTGGTAGTCGAGACGATTATCTATGTTCCTTTCTATTGAAGTTTCTGAGGGAGACTCTACCAGAAATGATGGAATCATTTCCTTGGATGAAAAGCTTGGAGTTTGAGTTTGGTATCCGTTGTCCAATTTGTGAAGACGCTGTACCTTGTACAAAACACAACAAGATGGCCTGTTCTAGAGACTCCTGTGCTCACTTCATACCAGAGAAGGAACTGTTGAAAAAAACTAAGCCACGTTGCCACAAGAGCCCCACAAAACGTAACATAATTCCACCTTCAAGGTTCTCGCACTGGTTTCGCAGCAACAACGTATGTTTTTACACTTGCTTTACTTCTACCACAAAAATCGCGATATTTTTGTTTATTAATGAGGATAGTTGTGTTTCTTCACGGTTTTACTTTTTGCTTCAGTCAGCTGAAGTCAATGAAGCACAAGAACAAATTCAAGGTCTCAGCTTGGGTTCGTGTTCTACAGAAGGTAATACTTTTGTTTTGGAGCGTTGGCAAGAATAATATCTTAGTGTGCATTTTGAAAATTAGTTTGAACAAGAAAAGTACACCTACTGTAGGAATGTCAAATTGCTGGCTTTAAAAGAGGCAAATATTATAATGATACGTTTTTATAGAAAATTAATGTTCAAGAGTTCTTTGCCAAGTTTAAGTTACTATGTTAAAAAAATAACAACTGTGAGAAGCGTTTAACCACATTTATTCTTATTAGTGTGGTGGACTTGAATATGGACGTTAGCATGAGGCGAGAACATTAAAAAATATCATTATTAAAACCGTTATTGTATGATAAAGAAATTGAGTTGTCTCTAGCTTGAAAAAACAATTTTAATGCAAACGTTTCGATCGCAACTGCGATCTTCTTGAGTGCAGTGGCAAAATGCAAAGCGTTTGCATTAAATTGTTTTTCAAGATAGAGACAACTCAATTTCTTTATCATGCAACATCTAGCTGCAACTTCAAAATATACCGTTATTGTACGTTTCTTTGTACAGATGACGCTCTGTGTAAGGAAGTCATGGCCGCTTTCAATCAAATTTCCCTGAAGACAATTTCACAGGACGAGGTGACTAGAACAGCTAAGAGAATCGCTGATACATTCAACCTTGACAAACATAGCACAACCAATCCACCAAAAGATATCGTACAGAAATGTAGGACTAGCTGCAAATGGTTGATTGCTCAAGGAGGGAAAGTTTTTGTAGAAGCTTTACGAAATGAGCTGCCTAGTGGAATGACAGGTTGGTTGACGATTACCATTACAACTATTATTATCATCATAATCAACAGCATCATTTGCCAACACCATCGGCTGTCATCATCAATCATTAAATTTTGCCTCTAGCACTGAATGTTTGAATAATGTAAAAGCGTTTCACTAGGTGACTGTGCACTTTCTATGTAACAATAAGATCTCGAGGGCGAGTGGACTACAAGCTCGTACTCCACGAGTCCGAGGGATTTTATTCATTTTCATTTATATTCATTGCGTGCCGCTTAAGAGAAGCGACTGGATACGAGTCTAGCTGTGATACGTCATTGCCTCATACACAGTTTTTTTTTCATTAGGTCCTTTGAGAGTTGGATGTGATGTTAAAGTATGCGACATGGATACTGTTACAAAAACTCAGTTATCAAAAGAGTTAACACGTGAGACAATAACAATATTGGTCGTTAAGATTATATCAAAATGTCACTTGTGGAGGGGAGGGATAGGAGGTGATTAAGGCCAACTTTTCCATTACCTCTTATCAGACGGGTCTGCGTAGAAAAATTGAAATTTCTTGAAGCATACTTGAAGCACAACTATCAACATTGATTAGAGCGCATTACTGATCATGATCTCTTTAATTTTTTTTTCAGTCAAAGAAGTTGAGTGGAAGGCTTTCGCTAAGAAGAAAGTAGGATTATCTCACGTCGATATTGAATTTTTAGATAAGAGAGAGAAAAACTCTGTTCTAGAAATACTGAATGAGCATTGCCGTGACTGGTCTGTGGAGCAACTTTATGATGCCGTAGTCAGTGTAGGAGCGGAAGCGATCGTAGATCGATACTTTTAATTCAGTAAATTTAAATTGTAAATAGACGGCGTACTTTATTACTACAAAACGGCAACTCAAAACGGTATTTAGAATACTTTTTGTGAGCACTTTGCAAGAACGTACTATTTCATACTATATACTATATTTTTGTTAAAATAAGTTATTGTAATGTCCTTTTCGCGGTTAGAAAACAAGTTGCACGAGGAAGTTGTTATTTTGCACCAAAGCGAGGCGGCAGAATCGGTCAAAAACTCAAGCATTGTCATTTTTGAGCACATTTATCTTTTTTGCGATGTTAGGAAAATAATTTTTATTAGTGAAAAAGTCATAATTTTGGCAGGACTTGGCACTCTTGTTTATTTGAGGGCTGTAGCAAACATGTTGCCCACTTTGGTTTTAAACAACGAAAAAGTCTATTGAGACAAACCAGCTAGTTGGACCTCTAAGGGATTACATTTTTAAAAAGGCACACTTTGTCTTTTCGTTTGTGCCCAGCGGGGTGGCCTTTCCATTAGTAGGCTATACTACTGAAGATAGATTTTATTGAATTTCGATGGCTAAACCGCTGTGTTGAGCTTTCAAAGGCCTCTCTTTTCACTACTGATTGTTTAGCGGAGTAGAAACGAATAAATTAGATAATAAATGTTCTTTTAAATAATCTGCTCCCATTTCTTCATAATTGTGTTTAGTTATGCTCCCTAGAGTCAGGTTGGACGCTTTACTCGCCCACTTATGCGCACCAAGCCACGAGTCAAGACTAGGATTCCTGGCTTCGTAGATTTTGAATGTTGATTTGAAAGGTCGAATCGCCCGGAGCTGTTTCTCTAAGCGCTGAGTAAAGTTTGGGAATATAGTGTTTCCGCCAGTTAAAAAGATATTCTGAAAAAACATAAGAAACTTGAGTAAATGTCAAAGAAAAAGGTTTGCGATATATTAAATGGGGGGAACGATGACTGGACTCGAACCCAAGACCTTCAAAATTCTAGTTTCAAAAGCGACTTTCGTCCCTAAACTCAGGGACTCGATGCGTACTTGTGAGCCAATAACCACAGTAAGATAGCCTGCGTGGCGGCTCTAGGGGAGGGGGGAAGGGGGAAAACGGAAGGGGAGGGGGTCGAAGAAGTAGGGATAAAACTTGCTACGGATCAGAAGATTGCGAATGTTCAAGTGTTTTCATACCAGTCAAGTTACACCTGGATAAAAGTAAGTCCCTCAGAATTGTTAATACTCGCAAACTAGTTTCTCAGGTTTAAGACCTGTTTCAAGTAGTGATTTAGAAATCCTGTTTAAGTTAGAGCCACATACCTGTACAAGCGAGTTCTGTCTTTCAGGGGAATAGTGTCCCAATACAAAGTCTATAGTGTCAGTGATACTAGCTTGCTCCAGTCCTACAGAAGCTGGTTCGAACAGTATCTCAGGGACTCTACAATTCATTCATGTGGATTTCGATATCAGTGGCGGATCCAGGGTTTTTCAAAACGGGATCTAGATCAGGAAATAGATTGCTATGACGTCATATTGACGTCATATGATGTCACCTGACAAGACCATACTTAGACTACGCATGCGTGCTGTATTTCAACACAGGTAGTCCATCCAGTTGGTCGGGGAATGGTGATGGCTCGAAGTGTTTGGAATACTTTAGCTTCGCAAATTACCAGTATACGACGCCAAAAAACAAAACAACAGGACACAACACAAAACGTCTGTAATCTTTTTAATCAAAATTTAAAATTATATTTTTCTTTATATTCAAAAATTTAAACCTTAAAACATTAAAATTAAAAATAATGGCGCTGAAAAAAAAAACACAACAAACAAACAAAAAAAGGGTGCAGAGGACCCCGTCGCACTACCCCTAGATCCGCCACTGTTTAAACATCAATAGAAAAATCATGGACTCCTGATATAGCTCTACACTAGAACAACACTCCAAACAACACTCCATACAGTTGGTTTATTGTTGAAAGAAAATCGGAAAAACTGCGGAAGAACCTTAATCACCGAACAAGCTTCGAACCTCATCGAACAGCTTTYGGRACTCCTCGCTCAAAACCRATGCGACTCGGAATTTCCCCGAAATGCTTTCGAGACTCCTCGATCAAAACCGAAGTAGCGCCGAACTTCGCCGAACGAACTATTCTGTCTATTTTTTYTGAGTTTGATCAGTTTTTATCCTGCTCGTGGATGACTATTGGAGGAACGGTTAAAAAATCCRGCCAAYTTTGGCAGAGGAGTGCAGTGTCCAAAACRTRAAAACCATGTATCTGGTATTTGAAGTCTGTTTTTATTTTTGACACAAGATACAAGTCATTTTGACTGAATTTCATGGAAAAGTTTCTTTTCCAAATATCTTTACCATTTCCCACAATGGGCTTCCTGTGTTTTAAATATATATGCAAGCAAACATAAGATCGGGTATTCCAAGAAATTCGCGGGGGGTCAAAAACATTTCTTACAAACACTTCGTTTGTATGGTATAAGTGGCAAAAAATATGTTTACAGTCTGAACTATACGTGGAATTTGAATTCTCTTCGATGTACTGGCGACAGGGAAACCTGAAGCTTGTTTTGACTGAGAGGCACAAGCCATTGATGGGCCACCAGGATCACGATTCCAATCAAACTGTTGAGGAGTGCTTGGATTCTCGTAACGATTAGGTACCGATTTGCATCGAAGATACATACATACATCATTTTGTCTTTTGTCTAAGCAAGATTTAAGGCATCATAATAAAAGTTTTCGCCTATGTTTTTAAACACAGGAAACGGCTGGGATTAAGGAGTCTACAAATGTGTATAAACCAGTGATGCTTTTCAGTTTCAAAAATAAACAAGCGTTTCAAAAGATGGTTTCGATCAGTTTAGTGAACACCGTCTGACCTCCTGAATTGACTCGAGAAATGGCAACTAACTATAACTCCGAAGTATGAAAAATCATTTGTATTTTCTCTTTTGTATATTGTTTTGGTTTGGTAGTTTTCCATAGTGTTAGACATGATATATTAATTTCCTTGTTATATTTCAAGGATGATGACGATTTTGGAGAAACATTTCTAAATGACATTCCTAACAGTATGATTGGATACATCATTGGACACGGAGGCCGTAGAATACAGAAACTAAAGGCTGACACGGAAACTTATATCACAGCAAAAAGCGGACTGGATGATAAGACATACTTTATAATTCAAGGCAAAGCCAAAAACCGGCGCCAGGCGAAATTGAAAATTGAAAATACAGTGGAACTGCTTAGCAGTGGAACAACACAGATTTACATTCCTCAGTATTTGATTAGTCACGCTATTGGAAGCGGAGGCAAGACAAAAAACAAAATTATGGAGGAGACAAACACTTTTATCAGAACAGAAACAGTAGATGATGAACAAACGTACATTTTAATTCAAGGCAAAGAGGAAAACCGYCACCAGGCGAAAWCGAGACTTAAAATGCAAGCGGTAGGTAGTTCTGTATGTTTCACAGATTGCGGACTGCTTGTTTCTCTATTTCCCAGTTACTCATTTTGTTAGTTGGATGATCTGCTTCRKYTGTGTAAGTCGTGAATGTTTYACGATTTCAGAGATATTTTCTTTCCAGTTTCAAAAACCTTAACAGGGAAAGAGTGGGGRAGAGCGCAGGGTGCACGTGCCCCTCCCCCATGGAAGTAAAAGGTCCATTTAGGGGATAATCAGAATAATAATTAAACGGAGGATACACTAAAAAAACAGCCAGTGAAAACAGTGACTGTAACCATAGGGACTAAGACAAATAAGAACTTTTGTAGCTTGTCGCAGATTGTGTTGCCTATATATTCAATGAATAGACTGACTAACTGAAGAATGAAATAAGAATGAATCAACCACTACCATGCCRTTGCAGAGCAAAGGACAGTTGAAGATTAGAGGACTACAAATGACCTTTTTCCCTTGTGTTGACGCCCAAGAAGGAACATTCGTGCTCCAGCCAATTGAAAGTACTAATGGAAATATTTCGAGGCTTGTTTTAAAGTCATCAAGTAATGAGGTAATATAG